TGCCATTTGCAGCGACATGGACGGGCCTGGAGGACTTTATTCTAAGTGAAATAAGCCAGACGTAGAATGACAAATACTGTATGATTTCACCTATGTGTGGAAACTTCCAAAAAATAGATAAAGTTGAGCTTGTAGGCACAGAGTGGGGAGCTGGTTGCCAGGAGCCGGGGTGAGGGTGGCGGGGAGAGGGTCCAAGGCCCAGACTCCAGTTGGAGGCTGAGCGGTTCCTGGTGGTCGAATGTACAGCACAGCGACTGTTGTTAATAACGCTGCCGATACGCAGGCTTGGAATTGCCAAGAGAGGAGGTCGTAGTTCTCAGCACACACACACACACACACACACACACACACACAACCCGCAAAGGTGACTGTGTGGTGACAGGTGGGTTTTAAAAAAGATCTGTGTGCTCTTATCACCTAAACACATATGACAACACGGCTAGGAAGTCCTAAGTCAAGCAAAAGTTTATTAACATGTTCGTTATCTCAGAAAACGCTCCATTGGGGCACAGAAACTTCCAGCTCATCGTCTATTTCTAAATGCATAACACAGAGCAAGCAGTAGACTCTCTGAATACGTTATAATTCAGTAACAAATCAGCTATGGGGGGATGTTTTTAAAATGCCTATTGCTGCCCTGGCTGGTGTGGCTCCGTTGGTTGGGCATCGTCCCGTGCACCGAAAGGCTGCCGGTTCGATTCCCGGGGCGGGGGCATGCAGATGTTTCTCTCTCTCCCTCTCCCTTCTTATCTCTCTAAAAATCAATTAAAAAATCTTTAAAGTAAAGTCAGATGTCTTTTCCTAGCAGGGATGATGGTCAGCACTATTAGCTCCTGCCGTCCTAGTCTAGTCACCAGCTCTCCATCCGTGTGAGGGCCGCATGCCGGGCGCTGGGTGCTCTGTGGCCAGTAGTGGCCAGCTGTGTGAGCTGGTGCAGGGCCCTGGGTGGACTGTGAACTGTAAGCACTGATGACGTCAGCAGAGTTAGGTAAACACAGCTGGGACTGCCCCGTAGCCCGCGGGTGACCTGACCGCAGCTGTCATTCACCCTCGGAGAGGCTCAGTCCGCCCTGCGGTGGACCTGCCACGGTGCCTTGCACTGGTTGTATCTGTTTTCTCGCTCACAGGTTTGCATGGAGCCAGTAGAATCGAGAGCCTAAGGCGCCTCCAGGACAGGCTGGGTTCACGCTGGGGCCGAGGCTCTCCCGGGCGTGTGACCTTGGGCGGGATCCAAGGTCAGATTCCTCAGCTCGGGAAGGAGGGTAGCCCTGGACGAACAGTGTGCGGCTCAGGACAGATGACCTGGCCCCGTCCCCGGCACGGTTAGTGGCAGCAGACTCCGAAATCAAGCAGAAAAATAAACTGAATGACCTGGGACGGAGTTTCTTCTTCCGAATGACTAAGCATTCCAATAGCCTCGCACGCGGCGGTTCCCAGGAAGAAGCTGTCCATCACACACGCTGCCTCGTAACGGAGGAAATCCAGGCTGTGAGCAAGCCGTCCGTGCGCTAGGCCAGCGGCTCTCCTGTGCCTGTGAGTCAGCCGTCCCCGCCCCCCGCTCTGGTCCTTGGTGCAGGCATAGGTAGCCTGGTGGGTGCCGCTGTGGGAATATGTCCTTTCTAGCTCCCCGGACCGGGCGGGGCATCCTGGGTAGGAATCCAGGGGGTTGGGTCATAGTATGAAGCAGAAGTAAAACCGCCAACAGAATTGCCTGCACTTGGAGCCGCTGCGGTCAGGTCTTTTCCGCAAGTTCATTCCCGCCAGCTGTCCCGGCTGTCGTCTGGCTGCCAGAGCCCGGCCTGGGACGCATGCAGCCGCATTAGAAATCACCCGGGCACGCTGTCCTCCGCGTCTCCAAGGCACCTCGGTCACGCGGTGGGACAGTCCGGGGTGAGGGCCCGCTAGGCTTGAGCTCCTCCGACGCTGACGTGGTGCCCGCGTTTGCATTTCACAGGCGTTGGGTTGCGTGTTTCCAAGCACTTGCTGTGTCCTCCGCTTTAACGGGCAGGCCTTTCTGCAGACCTTAATCTCCAGTATTTTTTTAAAATAAGAAAACACTCTGTTATGCATGTGTGTTGTGTCTACGCCGTATCCACCTTGTTCCCCACGGTTTTGAAAGTAAACAGTCGTGGTCACGTTTGCAATATGAGAGATTCAACAAGTCCCAGCCATGACACACACACACACACACACACATACACACACACACACACACATGCTCACCCACATGCACTCACACGCACGCTTACACACTCATTCTCACTCGTACTCACACTTGGGCAAGAATACCAAGTCTGAGGAGCAGTTGGGGATTCTTTCGCTCGTCAGATGGGAAGAATTGTCAGCAGTTCCACAGCTGAGTTGTGCGTGGAAGCAGTTGGTCCAGACGGGCGGCCCTTACAGAACTGGCCCTGTGTCCCGAGGGGACCTGGTCAGGCAGCCACGTGAGGACGAAGCTCGGCGGCTCTGTTGTCCTTTGGTCTGGGTCCCCCCTCTCCTCCTCCCGGCGTCGCACACACTGAGGTCAGACCTCGGAGGGTCACTGCGCTGCGTCCAGGCTCCTTGCCGGCTGTGCCCTCCTCAGGCCGCCGCCTCGGTGACTCCCAGCTCCTGGGGGTGTCGCTTATGGAGGGAACCCCAATGTCTGCTCTTCAAGACCGTCCCTCCGCGTCTGAGTCAGGTGGAGTCTGGGGGGCTGGGAGGCCCCGGTGAGCACTGGGCGGGGAGGCAGCCGGGACACAGGCCACCTGCAGGGCAGCCACCGCAGTGGGTCCTGCGCTTGGTCTCCGAGGCAGCGCCCGGCGGCTGTGTGCTCCGCGGGCGGGGCTGGCTCACGGCTCTCGTCGGGACGGTGCTGCGACCGGGTGTCTGGTGGCGTCTCTGAAAGTGTCGGGGTCTCAGCAAGGGGGCCTGTAGCCGCTGCCGCGGGCCGGTCTCCTGTTCCCGGGAGTTCACAGAGCGATTACGAGCTGCTCCCGCTCCTTCTGGCGCTCCTCTGACACAGTTTCCATCCAGAGGCCACAGCAGCCCGCGGGGCAGGGTGGGGACAAGGGCGGGTGGGAGTCCTCAGGAGGCATCCCCAGCCGTCCCTGTCCTGGGCGTTCCCTGTTCCAGGCGGTCCCTGTCCCTGGCGGTCCCTGTCCCTGGCGGTCCCTGTCCCTGGCGGTCCCTGTCCCGGGCGGTGGGCCTGGGAGGATGTGGCTTATCTAATCCTTGTCAGCTGCCCAGGCCTGAAAGCCAAGGTTACAATTAAAACGGAGGGTGGGGGACCACAGGCCGCCCCTCCTGTCCCCAGCCCGCCTGGCCCAGGTCCCCTCTGCGGGGCCCATTTCTAGGAGGACGTTGGGTCCCCAGCCTTCCCTCCACGTGATTCACAGGAGCTCACTTTTTTTTTTTTTTTGAAGCTCTTAACTGATCTGCTTCACAATGAACTAGTTTTGTCTGAAGCAGACAAACCAGATTCCCCAGCACAGCCCTGGCTGGGCCTCGCGAAAGAGCTTTCATTCCGATCTGTGAACAAGGCGGCTCCTCCCTCCCAGGGTGGCTGACTGGACCGCTCGGCCCCGGGTAAGGGAAGGGCCGCCCCGCAGCGGGCCGGGCCTGTTCATGCTCCCCTCCCCTGGAGCCCCAGCCCAGCCGGCTCTGGAAGGACTAAACATGGCCAGTCACAGTGGTCGTCGACGCTGTTCCCCACTGATGCCCAGCCGGGCCCTCAGTCCCTGAGCCACGCTTGCTCTCTATGAAAAGATCGAGACCTCCTGGTTTGTAGGTCGATGCTCAACCACTGAGCCGCGTCGCCGGACGGTGGGGAACCATTTTGAAGACACAGGGAAAGCCGTGCTTGGCCGGACAGGAGTGGCGTGGGTCGGGCGGACGTGGCTCTCGGTCCG